AGCCTTTGGCTAGAGAACCAGATCTGCAAGACAACAGAACGGTGCTCAAGTTCCGCAGTCCATTGGGGGTCGGTGTCCAGTTCATTGGATCATACGCCCTTTGGACGAGGTCAAACGTCCAAGGTGCCCCATACACCTTGATGCCCAATTGAGCCGGTGACCACTGCCGTAACCAGGACGATGTGGGTGTGATTCGTACTCTTCGTCTTGGTTCTTTTGGAATCAGGGTTTGTAGCCAACTCTCCTTGGTGAACTGCTAATGATTCATCAACCCTTTTGTAGCACCGACGTCGCCTTTTGTCCTCTCACTTTGGTGGGAAAATATTCCCGCCACGGGAAGGCAGTGGGTAGGACTTCCTCAGCAGAAGCTATATGATGTGCTTGTTCGTATGGGTGCATTTCGTGAGGTGCATCAGACGGGTGACCAGCCGCAACCCTATACACCCACCCCCGACCATACTTAGCATTTTGGTTACAGAGGTGAAGGAACACTGCCCACACTGGTTAAGACAAGCGGATACTAGGTTTACAGAAAGCGCCATTGTTGGTCGCCTAGTAGATACAAGCCATCATATTAGTTTAGTAATCTATCTTGTGCTCTCCAACTCTTCTAATATGATGGGCCTACACTAGCCACCGCTGAGGCGATAGATATTCTACTTTTCACATCAGAGCTATGCACACAAAAATGACTTGTTCAAGCTCTCCACACACCCTGGTCCCAAATCGATCAAAATCATCACCACCACCAACACTTCAATCACCGTCAATCTCATCCAATAACTTTCACACAGGTCTCGTCCCACGCCTTCCCATCTCGATTGTGGAATATTCGAAAACAGTTGTCCGCTTTTTGACTTATGTTCTAATTTTATTTTACTGACAATATTTTGTCCCATTTGAAATTTCTCCATAGACCCACCATCTATACCCTTCTTGGTTTAACGCTCATTGTACGAGTCCGGTTAGGAAACCAAGCAACCCGTGGTAATGTTAACAGGAGATTTTTAGGTAATCACCTTCGCCCACTTCGCAAGTATTGGACCTCTGTAGATTACGTTGGTTGGTGTGTGTTAGGCCAATCGCCAAATGGATTGCCACGTGTCTGACGTTTGTCATGGCAAGTGATGACTCAAAAAAGTAAAGTTGTCAAATTAATACAACATAAGGATATGAAAACCCTGAGTAGGCAACATGCGCACATAGATTGCGTTCGACTTCTTGAGTGGGGACATCGTGATCCACGTAAGCGATAGAAACACTAAGTGATATTGACAATATATCACAAATCAGTTCCCATTGCTCCGGTGAAATGAGTTGATTTTTGCCTTTCGGTCGGGTTTGGCCATTTGTTCACCTGATAGTACCCATTATTGATGGTCTATTAGAGTTTTTTGTTTGTTGTGCGTTGCCGTTTTGTCATTCCTTGTTTTTATCTTGTGCTCTAGATTCATGGATGAATGTCTCCACGTGCCATCCTTACGCTTTTGCTTTTTGCGATAATACTTCTGCACTCGGATGCCTTCCCTTTCGCTGCTATCATTCCGATTACAAGCGTCCTGATTGGATACCTAAGCAAAGACCACATTGAATGTTTATTCCGTGATTGCTGCTCGACAGGTGTCAACTTCAACCAAACTGGTAAGTTTTTGTGTTCCGTTCTGACCTCAATTATTCAGCTTTGAACCATTCTTTGATAACTAATCTCTACGGGCAGCACATTGCAGCCGAGCGTGTTCTCTATCATATCTCAGCTCATTTTCGAGATCCGCAACCTCAAAAACCTTTGGCCCTGTCATTTCACGGTTATACGGGCGTTGGAAAAAACTTTGTCTCTAATCTGATTGCAACCAGCGTATTCAAGAAGGGATCAAAAAGTCGATTTTTTCATTTTTACGACGCCACCATCGATTTCGCTCATCGATCCAAGATCGACGAATATAAGGTAAATGAAAATATATTGCCATATTTGGTCCTTTTTATGGTTAAAGAAATGAACGCCCTTCTTGGAATGTTTGATTTATTTAGTACTCAAACCGAAATCGCTCGTGACACATCATTGTATTATTATTATTATTATTATTATTATTATTATTATTATTATTATTATATTTCACACGTGTCTAAGGACAGACTATGTGCCAAACAAATCCCCATGAAAAGGAAGAAAACGTTCCATGGTTGGCTTGTGGGCTGAAGACTGCCAGGTTGACCAAGCCAAGGCAGGTGAATTTTTTGCGGATTTCGCGACCGAAGCCTTTGGATAGCCAAAGCCTGACCCACAAAGTAGCGGGGCGGTGTGTAAAAACCACAGTCCATTGGGAACCGGTGTTCAGTTCATCGGATCATTTGCCCCTCGGACGGGGTCAGAAGTCCAAGGTGCCCAATATACCTTGCCCAATCGAGCCGGTGACCAGTGCCAAAACCGGAAAGGTGTGGGTGTGGTTCGTACGCCTCCTCTTGGTTAGTTTGGAATTAGGGTTTCTGGCCAACTCCCCTAGGTGAACTATCGGTGGTTCATCAACCCGGATGTCAGCTTTTGTATTGTATTGTATTGTATTGTATTGTAATGTCCATAACTTTTGCAAGCACGAGTTCACATTTCGGTAAAAAAAAGCTAACCGTCACAGTGTACATAATCAATGGGGTGAAAAGTTTTTACAGACAAGGACAAAGTTCACTTATTGTCCGCTCTTTGTTTATGGTGTGAACTGCGGTAAGCGTTAATTCGAGATAAAATTTGACGGAATTGGGAGCGTGTTCGATGATGAGAACGACAGCGTATCAGTTCTGCCTGCAATGGGTGATCAGGATCTGTGGGAATCCTCTCAGCAAATTTCACACAGGAATAGAAGAGACACAACTAGTAATGGTTAGACCGCGGAGTAAGATTTTAAAATCCTGTTTGAGTATTCCAGGGAAAATAACTGCTCATGCTTCGGTCTTTAAGCAACGCATTTGATTGCTTTCGGTCAGTTGTCAAAAACAAAGAAACATTGGGCATAACTTCAGGTAATTAGTAACTATTCTCCGGAAAGCTTTCATCAGTGGTTAGTTTTTTTATAGTATATCACTCAAATTTGGTGGTAGGCAGCTTTGCTGTCGTCCGCTTCAATACCACGCCTAGCCTTATGTGGTTCACCACTCCAGGTCCCCGGGCTTAGTTTACCGGTTACCATGGCTGAACAGTAGGTCTTCGTGGCTACGGGGTCCGTCCTATATGCTGTTTATCACACGGTGGTGCGTAATAGATAAAGAACACCATTCAGTTACGGAGATTAAGGATCTTAGCACAGATTTGAAGTAATGAATTACGTGCATGTGATATCGCGCCGGGTTGTCTACCACCAAAGTTCGGTTGCGGTAGTACTGTTCAAACCGGAGATCCTGAAGCTCGCCCGTGATGGTAAGTTAAACCGCTGGACCACCAGCACCATCCAATCCCGTATTTCAGCATCAAAAAGGTCTATTCAATTCTCTGTTCATACAAGGACCCAGGTTGTGTATCTTGTATTCTTACCACTATAGTAATACGGGTTGCAGCATCAGTGATCTAAAAGATTGCCAAACTTCATGTGCGTTTCGCTTGCAAACAATATTTTCTCTCTACCCTAATCCGTCATATATCTTCACTTCTGAACCTTATGCAGGAATCACTCTTTCGAGATCTTCGCAACGCAGTCACTTCTTGTCCAGTTTCCATTTTTGTATTTGATGAAGTGCATCATATGCCCGATGGAATTTTGGATATCTTAGCCCCAGTGCTCGATATACGCGAATCAGTTAACGGGGTTGATTTCCGGAAATCCGTCTTCATTTTTTTAAGGTAAGCAACCTTTATGATTATTTTTATTGTTCCATATTTATTCATATACAACCATTTCATTTCCTCTTGCATTCACTTTCGGTGTTTTACTTGTGATAGCGTTCACGATTCATTCACACCAACGGTTTATTACTGATTGACCCATAGTTCCCAACTGTCATTTTTAGGTATCACGGTTGAACTCAAATTCATCCCCATGTAAGAATTAGTCACGTAAAAAGTTACAACGTGTATTCTCGGACTAGAATCATTATATTGTTGTATTCTGTAACCTGCGCAATCGCACTGCTCATAGTGCAGTTAATTATCGTACTATCAACCACCTTTTCTTGTAAGTAGCTCTGTTCTTGATATTTGAACCACAGGAGCGCCGGAACAGTTTCATATTTTCGTCTTTCTATCAATTTTCGCTACCCGTTAATCAAAAACGCACTTGAGCAACCCCTTCGGGTTATTTGTTTAAGAGTGATCCCTGTGTGCAAATACGGCTTCATCGATTCTTCATTTCGCTAGATTCAGTTCCTGATGGTTGGCTGATTCAGTGGCAATAAGTCATTTTTTGAAAAATACTCTCTGGGTATGTGTTTTCATATTTCACTTTCACTGCATAAAACCATTAAGATAACACTTTCGCACCGCGATTTTGGTTGCTTTCTTTTATTTAACCACTTGCATTAAGGTGTCGAGGGAAAAAATAGAATTGCGGAAGAAGTACCAAAGGGAGATAGACTAATACTACAAAGAAGCTAAATGAATGCACGAACTCCACTGTTTATGACACCCAGTCATATCAGTCCAACCACCACTCAGCCCGTATATATTAAAAGTCGAAGAAGCCTGTCTGATGTCGCAAACATTGGTGCTCGTACATCCACTCATTATTCCCCTAATACCATTCTATATGAATTATCCATCTTCCGCTTGAATTTGCTTTCANATATATATATATATATTTCACAAGTCTGACGCCAGACTGTGCCGAACAAATCATGGTATTTTGCTTACATCTATGTACTTACGTTCTACGAGGTTATCACAAGTTCTATATGGTGTTCAGTTTAGTTCAATTCAGCTTTTACGACGATTAATCATGCACTTTCATGCTACGGTTTTGGTTGCTGTCATTTGACTGCCTTTTTGGATGAAGCAGTAGGAGAAACGCAGGAAAGGTGAAAGTAGGGTCGAAGAGAAAGTGGAGAATTTCGGTGAACTAAGGTTGTAAAGAAATTGAGAAAATGCGCGAACGCCATGGTTTAGGACACTCGGCCATATCACTCACTATCTCTAACCGCCGGGTACGATCATCCCGGGATCCCCAGCCAAGGAGCCTAACACGACCTAGGTGACCCAGTCCCCTGGTTAGTTTTCATACCCTCCTGCCAGGTCTTATTTTAACCGCCCTTGGCTTTTTTCCACACACTACCTTCCTCGGCGAACATCGCTCGCCGTGGCAACCTATCGAGTAACACGCGTAGCACATGTACCAACCAGCGTAATCTATGAATATTGACCACTTGTTCCAGTGGACGACCGCGATTACCTCAAACTCTACACTTAACCTCAGCATTGCTTGTCTGGTTGCCCACCAAACTCGTGCAATGCTGCGTAGACAACGGCGTTCAAACGCCGACGGTCTATCGCTATCCTGTTTTCTTAATGACCAATTTTCTACGCCCTANAGCAGAACCGGCCGAACTGCCGCGGCATACACTCGACTCTTCACTGACAGTCGGACGCTACGATCTCGCCACCGATGTCCCGAGTTTGTAAATGCCAATCGAACCTTCTGTATGCGGGATGACACTTCATCCGTGTTGTGTCCGCCCGGTGAGACGTAGCTCTCCAAATAACAGAACTTGTCCACTCAATCTATTACTTCCCCAGTCAGAGTGAGGTTGGGTGCTGAACTAACCCAATCTTGTAGAAACATTTTACATTTTGAAGGTGCCAAAAGCATACCTAACATGGCTACATTGGCACTCAAGCTATCCAGAAAAGCTTGTAAATTACCTGGGTCTTCACCTAGCAGCATAACGTCGTCTGCATAGACCAGATGATACAGTCTGCCACCTCGAAGTAAATCAATGCCGCTATCTTCGCACGAGAGTAGGGCTGTTTCTATGATCAAATCTATAACAAAGTTAAATAGAAAAAGCAAGAGAGAACAACCCTGACGAACACCACTTTCTGTAGTCAACTTGGGCGAAAAGTGCTATAAGCTCGGACCCGGACTCGGTTATTAGTATAGCGGGATCGTAACATTGGAATAAACGTCTCAGGTACACTCTTCAGCTAAAGACAGCGTCAGAGTTTAGAGCTTTCTACTGACTTACTTCCCAGGAAACCTCCATTTCACATGGAGGGCTGGCATCAACTGGGAGAATTTGTCCAGTCGGGGTGGTGGGTGATAGGTTTGATATATTAAATTCATATTTTATTATGGTTAAATTATAAAGCTGATGCTTGGCAGCGATCAGTGAAGCTCGCTTCACTGTATCTCGCTGTACGATGATGATGATGATGATGCTTAATAAATCCAATAGGATCTGTACACATTCGGTTCGGTTGATAGGACAATCAAATAGCAAATTATAACGTTCACTCACAGATGCTAAAAAGTTAGGTGTTTCAATGCTTCACCGAGCCGTGACTTGAATAAATCGATGGTTGATGCACAAACAACTNGGAAGAGAGTTCCAGGTAGTATAAACTCTGAGACTGAAAGAGTGAAGTCTGCATTCTAGGCGACTCTTTTGGAGCAAAAGTTTAAACGGATATTCTCTGAGGTGACCATTCCTGGATAGTGTTAGTAGAGTACTACATGGGCTGTTAAGTTGATGTGGTGTTGTGTGATGAACGAGAATCATATCTCCCCGAAATGACGGTATTCAGAAAGGCAGAGTCCAAGAACATGTAGCCTTTCACCGTAGGTTTTAGATTGTAACCCTCTGACCGTTTTGGTTGCTGTTTTCTGCGGAGGTTCGAGTGCCCTTTGGTCGCGAATTAGCCATGGATTCCAGGCCTGCGTATCATACTCGGCGTGTGTTCTAATGTATGCTGATAGCAAACGTAACCATAGGCCTGCTTCGAATGATCCGAAAATACGTTTAGGTAATCCAACGTGCTTTATGGCCTTTGATAACACTCTTGGACAATGTACGGAACCTCACGAATAAAAACTCCCAGATCCTTTTCGTTTGGAGCACGCGGTAATGGCTGATTTCCAAGTATGGGAAGCCAGCCCTGTGACACAACGATACCACTTTGCATTTCTCAACGTTGAATTCCATGTCATCAGTGATAGACTATCGCTACAGTGTAGTGAAATAGCACAGTTAAATTATCAAAACATATGGAACTAGATTTTTCTT